GACTGCTTTGAAATGTGCACTACATTCCGACGGTAGTGCTAAGCAAACAGTTAAATTTTAAAAGCGCGGTTATAAGATCTAAAAGATCTTCTTGTTAATTATTAGATAAGTTATCGTAGTTAGTTGTCCCCAATTAGTATACATTGTATGCTAGCGACTTTGACACGTTAATAAAGTTCTTATCTTATCTTATCTAACGGCTCAACTCTACTTAAAATTCCTCCTTATAACACAGCATGAAGTGCTCTTCATAAAGACGTGTGAAGCAAAGAAAGGTCGACAGATCGAACAGAGAAGGGCAAATGTACAAATGTGACGAAACGTAGGAGTCGTGTAACTCCGTTAACAACATTTCGCACTTTTGATTAGGCCTCGAATGTCCGCAGCACTTTTACCGAACATGCACAAAGAAAACAGACTAAATCACTACGAACAATTTCTTGGGGGAGTTTCTTCCATAGAAATAGAACATGGAATATCATGAATCAGATGAATAATCATTGTAAATCATTTTGCGGAAACTACTTCGCCGGGTGATGATTTCCATTCTTGCGCAGCCTATTATTAGCCATCCGTGTCACAGTAGGCGGACACTGATTGGTTCTTTCAAAACGAAAGCTAACCGCCAGCGAGCGGAAGTGACTGCTCTGTTGAGCAGACGTTCGTGGGTAAGAACGCACAACGAGCCCTAATAGCGTCTACCTGCGGGGCTATCTTCCCTACGCTACCAGCTTTCTAATCATTCTGCTTTCCGGACACTGGATGACAAAACTAGTTGTGAAGGATAATCATGAGAGAGGAAATCCTGCAGCTGAGGTAAACTTCACTCTTTGCCAATTGAGCGAGGGGAGACCAACGAGTGAGATCATAAATGTAATGAATTCAAGAAAAGACGCACACCCACCTTTTTTCACAGGTTTTACAAAAAATAAATAAGATCTTTAAGAACGTTGTAGATAGATTGGGGATATCTACAGCCATAATATTACGAGCTTAACTATGTTGTTTTAGTTTAACAGCCTTTGAAGAGTCGAATATTACCAATGGAGTATATTTACGTTGTTTTTTCTCTTGCAGACAAACTCAAGGACCTTGCCTCCTGTTCTGAAACCTGCAAATATTTATGGGATGGATTCGGTCAATGGAAAAATGACAAGTGGATGCCATATCTTAAAGGTTGAGTGTAAATGATTTACTCAAGAAATAGAAAAAGCGTACTGTGTTTTTATCGAGTTACATATGCATGTATAGAAAGACGAGTGGAAAATTGAGAGAACGAGAAATGTGTGGGAACACGAGCCGACAGGCGAGTGCTTTCACAACTTTTTCGAGTTCTCTCAAACTTCCACTCGTGTTTCTATTAAACAATTAGATTATGGGCTGAAGATTTCTATCGCATGCTGGTTGACGAGGGCACCGCCCGAGTTGACTATCACGCATAGAAATCTCCAGCTCATGATCTAATTGTTTTGGTATTTATTAAATACATTTCATGTGAAATCACTGGTAATCCTTGCAATCTGATTGGCTCTCAGTGGTGCGATTTATTCATGAATCGCACTATATTCTGCTCTAAATTGCATCTTTTTCTCAGTCAATGGAATGGGGCAGTAAAACAAAACAACCAATCAGATTTCGAGGTTAGTTTAAAGTACTCAATAAAATTTCAGGAAAATTAAAGGGAAAAAGCCATTGTGTGGAGAATTTTTCAACTACTATTGCCAAAACTATGTTATTGTTTTTTTCCAAAAAAATTGACGATATTTAATTAATTACAGTTTCTGAATGACGATTATGAGCTCCTTCAGGCTGAAGACCTACTTTAATGGAAGTTTCCAACTTTGTGTCCATTTTGACGAATATTTTGGTGATTTTTCTTCAACATCTGCTCGCGATCCGTATGATACCGAGTACAGTAAAACATAAACAAACGAAAACCACACAACATCAAATTCAGAGCCATCTCAACAAGGTAGATGTTTCCAGGTTTCCGGTAGTTTCAAACGAAGCAACTCAAGAACTCAACTCTGTCGCTGTGAATAAACATAGTCAAAATACGCCCCGCTCCACAAAACAGTGAATGAACGAACGTCTTCCGAAGCTGGTGCTAGTCCAAATGGCGCCGCAAGAACCTGACGGTCCTGATTAGGTTTCACGGTGAGGTCAGAAAAAGAAACGGAGATGATAACGAGCTGGAATCCATTAAAATCGTGCAGAGCACCACTGAACGGTATTTAAAAGAATAAAGAAAGCTACCCACTGGGCATCGTGCACTCGAGGGAGTTTCACAACTCAAAAGAAATCCGTTGCAGAATTACACAGGATGTACCTTGAAATTCCTTCTCTGAAGACAACGAAAAGTCTCAGCCTCAACCACAGAAGGAAGGAAGGCCTTCCATCATTGATTCAGACGACGAGAATTGAACCTTTATGCATGAAGTAGACAGTTTTCGTTCTGACTTTAGAACTGCTTGTTTCTTTCTTATGCTCGAATGAGTTTTCGTCACATGACATCGTTTTACATACTAAATGAGACGGAAAGGCGTTTCCGGTTCCGCTATTTTCAGCAAACCGGGTAATGGAACAATACACCAAAATCTAAAATTCAAGGCGATAAAATTGTGCGATTTCAAAATGGATCTAACAAAGTGGCAACTGAACCGTCGTGTCGTGCAATTTTGGTCTGAAATCATACTTGTGATTTCAAATCGAACGAGCGCTGCGCGCTCGTTCGATTTTGAAATCACGCGAATGATTTCAGACCAAATCGCACTCCACTCAGTTCAATTACCAGTATAAATCTAATAGTCGCTTAAAACTTTACATTGTACTTGTTACGAAGGCAAAAATTATAATTAAAAAACTAAAACAATGACAGAAAACACCAATTGAGATATCTCTGTTTGTGACGAGAAGCTTCACTTTTGTAAAAATGCTCAAACAACACTTACATGCAGTGTAGTAACGCTCGTTTGCTTATTGGCGATCTCCGTCATCTCAGCGAAGTGGACCTCAACAACTTCGTATCAACGCTCACCCGACGAGTGATCAGTTGAAATGTTGCTCTGATATCCTCTTTTGTACTCGGAATAGAACCAGAGGGAGCGGTCTAGTTTTTCCAACTTTGACGCTAGTTCGGGAAATCTTACTGCAAGCGGCTGCAAGCGACTGCAAGCTGTAGCTTCTTTCAAGTACAACTCAGCATTTTGCACTTTCATTCACAAGCTTTGAACTACTTGTTCGTAATTTCCATTGAAAAAGTGCATGTTTTCACGAGCCACAATGCGGCCGGATTGCTCTGGACTGGAGACCTTTAGATCCTTATTTAAGTTATCGCTCTTTTTTCGAAAACCACTAGAAACCGAAAGTTAGGCAGAAGTCCAATTTTTGATTGACAGCTTTTGTCTCTATAGCCAATCAAATTATTTGAACAATTCTCACAAGGATTGCAATGGCTTATTTTAGCGTGCTTTATCAGAGAGCAGATGCACGCTGAGGCCACTTTTCCTCCTTTGGAAAATAAAGTTTAGTTTGAAAATTCAGCCGAATTCGCGGGGAAATTAATGGTTTCTTTATCATAAAACAATTAAAGAAGCCTCGACTGTGCTCTAATCTGATGTAAAGCACTTAGGAAGCGGTAGAAACACTCGACTGCGTCTGGTGTTTCCCCTTACACTTCGTTCGTGCTCTACAGCTTCCTAGGTGCTTTACAACAGAACAGAGCACATTCGAGGCCTCTTCATTTGTTAATCAAAACACTGTTTTAAACGGATCAGCGTGCGCATTTTCTTTGGGCTCTTTTCTAATATGGTATTTTCAGAGTTCTCCCCTGGAGGCCCGGCGATTGTACATCAGCGAAACCAGTAAGGGGTAGACGACGACGTCGCTAACGTCAATCAAGAACTGATATCATTCATGATATTACGAACCTGACAAGCCATTCAGCTGTTTTCAGTTTTCATTTACAAATAGACATGCGGAACATTTGCCGCCGTGTTTCAAACAGCCTTGAACCTAAACTGCCGCAGTATTTGGCCATTTCATATTGTTTCCCCTAAGGTTCTACGTTGTTATGGAGTGCACTTTCTAGTTTGCTTAACATGCTTTCTTCTTTTAAAATTTTATAAAGCAGAATCTTACAATTGGTCGATGGCACAGAATTACACACGATCTGGAACGCTTTGGGTCTACGGTGATTCAGTGGGTCGTCTGCTGTACGAATCTGTCAAGACTCGTCCCTTATGTAATTTACTTTATGAGAAATGCAACAATAGCTACGTGTGGGTCTACCGAAAAGACAACGAAGGCTTATACATCAAAAAGGAAAGAAATCTTGATTTTAGACCTGAAAAAGTCATCAAAACTGTCACTGACGTTCTTCGCACGCCGGAAATGCAGCTAGAGGAAACCACCTTGCTTTTGAACTTGGTTCTGCATTTTGTAAGAAGCGTCAGTTTTAGCACTTATCAGAAGCTTATAGATGACTTGATAGTAGCTTTGAAGGACGGAGAACTCTCACAAGGTGGGAGAGTTCCAAAGTATAGGGCTAAAATCATCTGGAAGTCATCCACCGCCATTTGCAAGGAAAAGTACGCGTCCCATAAGAAAACCGATCTTCGATTCGTGACTAGCCAGGTACGTTTGCCTCCATTTGTCAGATTCTAAGGGTGCAGAGGTGCCAGATTAGTATACGTTCTAAACTTTGATGTTGTACAATAGGGAGCTTAAGCAACCCACGACGAGGACGGTAACGAGAACGTCACTAAACAAAAGGTTTAACGAGGAGAACAATAGCTGTGCACGTGCATTATAAATCTTTGTACATTTCTTTGCCGTCCTCTGCAAAACAACAACGTGAAATGACCAAGTTCTGCGTCGTATACGGAACGTGGACGACGACGGCTAATTTTACGTGTTTCCATTTGGAATTGAACGCCGTCGTTGCATATTTAGCTTAAGCACGTGTTTAGAGCCATTGGCGTACGGAACAGATCTAGACAATCGCGAATTTCGCTTGTAAAATATAAATTCACTTTTTACTAGGCGTCGTTGTCGTCGTTGCTTAAGCTAGAGACCTTAAGCATCAGGACGGGAGCCACGCCGACGGCATACCGGAAGTTTATTTTCTGTCCCAGTCATGCGTAGAACCTGAAAAGCTGATTGCAATTTTCCGTCGTCCTGACGTTGGCGACAGTTGGTCTAACAAAAAGTTGCTCCATTGCATGATGCGGTGGCCATGCATATCGTAGATAAAGTCCACTGCTGTGTTTGTTATCATGGAAAGCACTGGCACAGGTTTGGCGAAGCGAGGAATCATATCGCTGTATCGACATGGATAAGAGAATCTCTTCAGCGCCATACACAAACCTCCCATGCCATCACACACACTCCGTTGTTGGCAGTAAAAGGTGGCGGGGAACTGGAGTGCCTCAGCAAGAGAAGGAAGATCATTCTTCTCGACTCGAAATTCAGCTTTACATTCTGCAGGATCCATGGTGTCCAGGTCAAATTCTTCGTAATCTTTATATGGGAAGCTACAGTTTTTTTAAACGTTTTGTTCCCATAAAAGGACGAATTCCTCATCGTCTATTGTTTCCTCGTCATAAACTACAAGCAGCCCGTCTCTAGCTTTTGCAAAAGACGCCATGTTTTTCGAAGTGTTAAGCTTTTTGAAAACTGGTGGGAGGTTGTCGTCGCAGTGTTGCTTAACATGCTCAGGCGAGTGGAACGCGACGCCGTTCTCGCCCCAGCCTTTACGCGGATGTGCGGTCGCCGTCGCCATCTCCCGTCTTGGTACTTAAGGTCTCTAGCGCTCTCTCAGCACTGCGGAAAGCAACCCACTAAAAGTGAGAACACCTATTACCAAAAGAAAGTTTCTTTTGATTCAGTGATGGCGATTAATACTAATAAAAAATTTATATAAAATCTCCAACCAGTTTGTGAGGCACTGGACATTCAGAGAAAATAACGAGGTTATATAAAAAAGTCCATTTGGTGGGAAAATACGCGTGGATAAAAGCGCGACTTTACTGTTCCAAGAGGCAAACAAGTTTAGCAAATGTTTGAGCCTATTTCCACTCCGGATGAAGATTAATTTTAATAAAAAGTAAAAAGTTGGTAATCTGTGGAACCCTCTCGGACTTGTTGAAACTTGTTAGATAACCAAACTACGTGATATCATATCCCACCAGCATCAATAGGGTAACTTAAAGTAATTTTGTTTTCATTGCTGCAGTAATTTAATGGCGGGGGAATATATGTCTTAGGACATCGACGTATTCCACATTTTATTGACCGTTTCAAATTCGCAAAGATGCTCTTGAAGTTGACAATACCTTCTCTCTCAATAAAAATAAAGACAGACAGAGTGTTAAAGACAAATTAAGATCACGATTGCTACATCTGTTAGAAACTAAACAATTTTTTTTGTTGTTTTTTGCGTCCTCTCCTTTCAGCGAGTTGCCCTCTTCACTGCCTACTCCGTGTCAGCCATGTGCAAAGCAGGATTTGACGTCATAGACGTGTATCCACTGAGCGATTCATATCCACCTAGATGCACAGACCATGTTCATTACGACAAGACAGTTTTTGACATGATGGAGACAATGCTTGAGCAGTACAAAGTACACTACAACAAGAAACTCGACGAAAATGAAAAACATGGTAAAATAAAACGATGCATAAGTAAGGAAAACTTCTGACAGCTTAGGTAGAACACAGTTGAAAGTTACCTTTTTAAAAGAAACTGGCCTTAAAGACTTTAGATGGAGCAAGGTTTTGAAAAATTCAACCTCATTAAGAGAGGAATTGAAAGATGAAGAAAAATATGACACATTTCTTGGATGGTAAAGTCGTGAAAAGCAAATAACCTAACCCAAGAGCCGATAATACATTTTATTTCAATTTGCCTCACCTTTCACTCAAAATCGAAACAGTTAAACACAAAAGTCTTTCGGTCTATGGTCGCACTGCTTATTATGGTTTATTACCATCATGACCCTCCACGTATATATATTTAAAGGTGGGAACTGATATGGCCGCTGGAAAAATGAAATAAAACAATTTGAAATGAAATACTTTGATTTCGATCCTTCTTGGAACAACGAACTCCTATATATAAGGAACTTCAGTTCTGACAAGTTTACGTTTGTTTACAGCTTTTCAGTCATATAACTGAAGCTCATTTTCTAAGAAAGTAACGCGGAGAGCATCCTTCAATTTAATTATTAAATTTCGTGTATTTCTCTTTAATTTCAGAGGTTTGGGTATTTACTTGTTGACTGTTTAGTTTTCGAAGTTTAAGCACTTTCTTTAATCTCCGAGTATTTTATTTTCGAGGTTAATTGGAAGCTCCTTTTCTGGGCTAGGTTGTTAACGCTAACCCAGGATTAAAAGTTAACCTTTGTATTAACTTTTCTCGAATAAAAGTCCTATGTTTTGTGTGGTTTGAGATTACTTAAACTCAAAACTGAGGGACTAACGATATCCGGTATATCAAACTTCACCGAAAAGTTAGAAAAATGAAATCAAAAGTCTAGCTAATCCTTGGATAGCCTAATCAGACTTTTAACAACCGGGCCTTGAGTGTTTCATTTTCAATGTTTGGATATTTCTTTACTAAGCGTTTCATTTTCCAGGTTAGAGAGCTTCCTTTCTCGGGTTAACGTTTTCATTTTTTACACTGCATTTGGACGCTTTTCTTTCACTTATTGGGCATGTCCTGCCAAGTTCTTCATTTTCTACTTCTTCATTGTCGATAGTCCCTTCATTTAACACCTGAGGTTTGTCAACTGACTAAGAAAACGAGCACAATATCATTGGAGAGCTTAAGCAATGAGGACGGTGATAGTGATCACCATTTGAATGGCAAATTTCTCTTCCGTCTGAATCCTGAATGCTTTCATTTGAACGGATTGCATTGAAGTCGGCTTGTCATCATCTTTATAAATTGACCCGGGTTAACATGAAGTTCTCTAGCCAATTCATTCAACTTTAAGTGTATGCCTGTGGATTTGATTCTTTTGGGAATAGAGTCTCTTTATCTGACCAAGACAGGCTCGATGTGCTTTTTATTGAAGCAACAACAGACTAAACGTAATTTCGCACAAAACAACAATTTATTGAAGCAAAAAAAGAAACGAAAATAGGTGAAAGCAATTGATTTATAGTGATGACAAATTACAAGCTATAAATAAAGTAGGAAAGAAACTTTTACAAAAAGAAAAACGCAAAAACGGCGAAATGCATTGTGAATTCACACAAACGATTCGATCTTCGACAATCGCAGAACATAGGCATGCAAGACGTGCAAGAGAGATTTTTTTGTGGATTAAAACTTACCAGTACCAACACACTCAAACGCCTTATACACGACCCGGTCACAAGGTACAAAATCAGCCATGCTGGGACGCAAGTTACACAATGGAACTTCCAAAACAAAAGAAGGTTCAGCTGTAATAATACAAAATTAGTTGTTTTGGAAGACGCTCAGTGTTATTTGCGTCCCGTCATGGTTGATTTTGTACAATGTAACCGAGTCGTGCAAAGGACCTATTCCCGTCAAGCCATCAACACATTTCCACGACAGCGCTGGACTTCCTGCTCTAAATTTCTTAATGAAGAATATTATTCGTCTTCCTCTACTGACCTGACATGCGTTCAAACACGTCAAAATGATAATAAAAAACTGAACTTGTCACCCACTATCTAGCTAAATAAATTGTTTGATTCTAATTAGTCAAGTGTAGTGTAACATTAATCCCCAATTTTACTCAACATGGGTACGTTTAAAATTCTAGTCACTTTGGAAAGACTTGTTTACAAATCAGAAAGTGCCGAAAACGCTAGCGAAATATGTGAAATCTTGACCAGTCACAACATTAGTCGTTCCAAAGTATTTTATAGCTGATGATGTAATCTGAAAACGTCGTTAAGTCAGACGTAACGTTAAAACGGAAAGAGAAATCCGGTAAAAGAAAAACGGGCTTAAAATTACAACCAAAACTTTGTAAAAGAGAGTTTCGATGACAAAACATACATTTATTCACGATCATAGGTAACAGACATGATTTGACGTAGAAACGAACGAACTGCGCATCTAACTGGAAACTGAAACGCAAAGGAAACTCTTAACTACCCCTTCTTGATCGCCGTTTTATTGCCAATGACTGAAAATTGTCCTGCATTCCGATTTTTTCCTTGAAATACCTTTGTCAAAACTTTGGTGAGGCATCCTGCAGACCTACACGGCCTAATGTGGCTAAACAATTATGAAACCTAAAATTACGATACGATGTACAGACAGATGACAAACAAGTAAAAATTACCTGAATTACATGTCTCTTAGGGTTGGTTTCCACATGAACGCTGCGATCGTTGCAGAAAACGTTTAGCAACCGTTGCAATTTATAAAAATCACTCTCCAGCGATAGCTGAGATCGTTGATCACAATTTAGTTCTCTCTAGCAATCTTTGCGATCGGATTGATCATATGGAAACCGGTAGTCGTAGAGATGGCTAAACTTTTCCTGTGATTATCGCGGCGATTGCAGCGATCGTAACTATCACTCTGGAATCAAGCCGTTAGAGATAACGTTTACTACGTAAGGGACCGTTCATTTTTTATGAGGGAGGGGGG